CCGCATATTTCCTATTCACTTCATACACGACCAATTGTAAGTCGGCCAATATGTAGAGGCATTCTGCCTTCAGTGTTTGTGTTGCTCGAAAGCCAGCAAGAAGAGCCTCATATTTGGCTTTATTATTTGAGGCCCAAAAATTAAAAGAAATGGAGTGCCCATGCGTCAACCCGTCGGGGCTGCACAGGACCACTCCTGCTCCACTGCCGGCTTCTCTGAGGGACCCGTCCACCTTCAAAAACCACCATGAAGCGAACTTGGGCGAGTCTTGTTTCGGAGTGTGAAGGATTTGTGGAGTAGGTGCCTGGACCACTAGGGGCACTGGAGGTTCTTGGTGAGTCAATGGTGAGGGGTGTTTGGCTCGTTGCTTGATAAGGGCGACTCGATCAGAAAGTCGATCAATGCTTGGGCTTTGATTGTCATCCCGGGCTTGAACTGTACGTCATGTTCACTGAGTTCGACTGCCCATGTGACCATTCTTCTAGAGGTTGTGGGGATACCCAGTGCTTTCTTCAGAGGCAGACTTGTCCGCGTAATTACAGTATGGCCCTGGAAGTAAGGGCAGAGTCTCCTTGCTGTGATGATGAGGGTAAAAGCAGCCTTCTCTATGAGGGGGTAGTTGCTTTTAGAATTTGGCTCACGTAGTACACGGGCTTCTGGATGTTCTCTTCTTCTCGAACTAGGACAGAGCTGATGGCTTCGGAGGAGATCAACGCCCTTCAGGTCGGCGTCTCCAAAAGAGATGGGCTCCTCCACTCTTGACCTCTTGTAACACTGGTCAACCTGTAATGCCCTCTTAGCATACCTCTTCCAGGCGTTCTTGGATGACTCTCTTGCAATGGGACCACCACTGATCATGTTGATGACCCTTATGGTTTAGCTTTAGAGGTCGGCTATCCTGGTGTGGTTGAGGATGAGGTGACTGTGAGCAGGATCTCCTATCTACCTTAGCTGGGGCATCTCCTCTCCGATCTCTCTGAGAGACAAGCTTCTTCAGGTACCCTCTCTCGATCAGGTCCTTAATATCCTTGTTCAAGATGTTGCGATCATTAGTAAGGTGGTTGTGATCTCTGTGGTATCGGCAATACTGTCGGGCATCTTGGCTCCTTGGATCCGACCTCATCTGAGGAGCGGGCTCCTTGAGGTGCCCCACCTTTTGGACCATGGTGAGAGATTTTGTGAGGAAGGTGTTGAAGATAGTGAGAGCGGACCTCGGTGTCGGGTCCCTCCGTTGATCCCTCCTGTCGGACCGATTGGAGCAGAGTCGATTCTTGGAGG